ATATGATGCTGGTACGAACCATGTTATTTAGGGTTTGAATGATGTGTTCTGCGTTTCCATTTTGAGAAGAGGTGTAAGGGCATGTGAAACTAAGTTGCATACCATTAGTATTATAGAATTGATGGAATGAGTGGTTGTTAAATTCTTTTCTGTTATCACACTGAAAAGTTTTGATTTTCATGGAAAATTGTGTTTGAATGTAAGCACGGAAATGTTGTATGGTTAAAAAGGTTTCTGATTTGGTTTTAAGAGGGTATGTCCAAATATAGTGTGAGAAATCATCAAGGAGAACCAAATAATATTTATGACCAAGTTTGCTAGTAACAAGGGAAGTCTAAAGATCAGCATGGATAATATCAAAATGAGAATAAGTAATAGAAACTGAATTTGAAAATGGAAAGCAGCAATGTTTACCTAAAGAACATGCATTACAGGAAATATGATTGTTTTTGCTACTACTAGGAAACAAATGAAAAGTACTGAAATAATTAAAATTAGAGGTTACTGGGTGACCAAGGCGATTGTGCCAAACAGTCGGAGAGATTGTGTCAAGAGCAATAGTGGAATGCTTGACTGGACTTGATGGACTGAAAGGGTAGAGATCTCTTGTGTTGTTACATCTGGTTATATGTGTCCCTGTGTTGAGATCCTTCACAACAAAACCTAACGGGTCAAATTCAACAGAAACTTGGTTATCAATGGTAAATTTTCTAATGGAGATAATATTTTTTTGATGATATTCGGGACATGGTATACATTGTTTAAGCGGAAGGGAAAGGTAATTGAAGGAGTGACAGTGTTACCATGACCAAGGATGCGGATGCGAGAGCCATTACCAATCAGAATATAACTATCTTTATTAAAACGAGAGAGGTATGAAAGTTTACCTGAGTCACTTGTCAAGTGAAAATTTGAGCCTGTGTCCATGTATCAAGAGTTGTCTGGCAGTTGCATCTGTAAAGTATGGAAGGCAGTTGCAAGTTTAGTGGGTGTCATGATACTGGGCTGTTGTTGTTGTTGAGCCAAGTTTGGATCAACAGAGAAGTGGGTATGTTGTTGTTGTTGTTGTGCTGGTTGCAGAGAAGCTGGAGGCTGCCGATAGTAGGGTCGTAGCCCCATAAGACCAGGTTGTTGGTTTGGAGCAACAGTAAGATATGGACATGGGGGTGGTGCCCAAGAGTACTGAGGGTACCATCCGGGCCAATAGTTGAGAAATGGTGATCTGCCTCTCCCACATCCACGACCGTCATGTTGTCCCCCACGAGAAGAACGACCCCCTCGCTATCCATCACCAGATTGACCCCGTCAGCTGGTGAAGGTATTTTGTTGTGTATGTTGTGGTTCAGCAGTGGGTTGTTCGTACCGTTGGGTGGTAAGGGCATGAGGGGTGTTTGAGTCTTGTTTGTTTTGCCTTGTTTCCTCCAGAAGTAATGGAGACCAGGCTTTATTAAAGGAAGGGAGTGGATCAGATTGTTGAATGAAAGTTGCAACCGTGTAAAACTCACCTTTGGTGAGGCCTAAGATGAGTTGTAACACAATCTTTGTTTCAGATATGGGGTTGTCAACATTGGCTAATTGGTCACAGAGGTTTTTGAGACGAGAACAATATTCTGATATGTTGGAGAAAGCATTGAGGCGGGTGTTATTGAACTGCTCTTCAAGATAAACACCCTGTGCTGTCTTATAGTTCTGGAAAACTTCCTAAAGGCGTGTCCAAAGTTCTTGAACCGAGGCTCCTGGTTTCATGACAGTTTGAAGAAGCTCTAACGAGATGGTGCTAAAAATCCATTGTTTGACTATGTTATCCAGTCTCCAAGTGGCTTCATCAACCTCAGTGTGTTTTGGTGTGTCTGGATCAATGTGATCTAAAACATTATGTGTACATATGTGGATATGAAACAATTCTACCCATGAAGCATAGTGGTCGTTGGTTCGATCAAGAACAAGAGGTATCGAGTTCTTGATATTGGTCACAACAAAGGCAGAATGGAAAGTGGGTTTATTTTCAGGATTGGTGTCAGAAGGACCTGTCATGTTCGCTGTAAAGAGAAGAGACCAAGAAGGAGAAGAAGAAGAATTTGATAGAGGAAGATGACAACGGTGCAGAGAGGAGAGCTAGGGCTCTGATATCATAAAGATTGGTATAATGTTCGTTGCCCTTCTCATTGATCTCTACACCTTAAATACAAGATAATTCCTATAATTAAGGGAAGGATATGCACAATCAAATACAAAATATAATACATATATATATATATATATATATATATATATATATATATATATATATATATATATATATATAT